TGAGCCAACATCGATTACTGAAAAGGGAAAGTCTTGGCAGGCCGGGGGGAGACGGATTGAAGCCACGCCGGAAGGAGGTGCCCCCCAGGATGCCTCTGGAGCATCTGAAACCCCCCAGGACTGGAACCTGCGCCAGGCAATAGCATCCTGGCTATGATTTTGACCTTCCACAGAAATTCACCTTTTCCTCTGCTTCGGAGACTACAGGAACAGACATTCCACCTAACCATTGGGAACCACAGCCATCCGCAACAACAACGACACACTCTTCCAGAACAAGGCATGAAGGCCACACGTGATTTACTTCCGGTACACTTCAGACAATGAGGCTGGAATCCTGTTGGTGACGCGGCCATTGTGCCTGTGTTTGTGGTTCCAAAGTCGTCGCCCAAGGAAGTATTTGCTATTTCATAGAATCATAGAGAGTTGAAAGAAACCCTAAGGGCCATCCAGCCCAGCCCCATTCTGCCATGCAGGAACTCCCAATCAAAGCAGCCCCAAGAGATGGCCATCCAGCCATCTGTTGAAAAACTTCCAAAGAAGGAGACTCCATCACTCTCTGGGGAAGTGTGTCCCACTGTTGGACAGCCCTTACTGTCAGAACCTTCTTCCTGAGGTTGAGGTGGATTCTCTTTCCCTGGCGCTTGCATCAATTGCTCCATTGTGTCCTATTCTCTGGAGCAGCAGAAAACAAGCTTGCTCCATCTTCAATGGTGCTATGACTCCCTCCTCTCATGCACAACTGACCTGTCCAGGTGAGTGCAGGCCCCCAAGTATCTAGATTCAAGGTGAGGTCTGACCAGGGTGACCAGATTATCTTCCTTTTCCAGGACATGTCCTACATTTCAGCCTTCTGTCCAGGAGGAATTTCAAAAGGCCTACCTTTTTCAGCATGGCTAAGCAGCATGATTTTAGATTTATATTAGTCTTTAACTATTACTGTATTTTGTAATCTACATTTTTCTTGAATGTCCTATATTTTGCAGTGCTTTGTCCTCCTTTGCGGTTAGGACCTCTGGTCACCCTGGGTCTGATCAAAGAGCCATAGAAAAGCTTTCCTTTTCCCTGGCTGTATCTCCACTGCAGAATTAATGCAGTTTGACGCCACTTTAACTGCTATGGCTCAATGCTATGGAATTCCAGGATTTGTAGTTGGGTGAGATATTCATCCTTCTCAGTCAGAGAGCTCTGGTGCCACAGCAAACTACAAATCCCAGGATTCCATAGCATTGAGCTGGGAGAGTTAAAGCAGTGCCAAACTGCATTAATTCTGCAGTGTGGATGCAACCCCTGTGCATGTGTTGGGCTTTTCATCCCACTCCCAATCCCCAGTCACTACCGAAATAAATTTCTTCTAGAACTTGGGCGTTACAAAAGCATGTCTGAAGGAAGATGGCCCTTTATGTCAGAGGTATCCTGTTGCTAGTGCAGATTATTTACTTACTAATGCCTTTTTCTTTAAATGTACTCCTCCTCCTCCTCCTCCTCTTCTCTCCTTTCACATGCCTTTTGCTTGTCTCGGTTTGTGACGGAACAGTAAGTCTTTGCAAAGCCAGAGATGGAAAGTGCAAATGGGATCCCAGCAACGTCCCATTGCATTGCTATGCGAGGGGGATTCAAATCAATGGGTCGTGGCGTCTAAGATAGATGCTCTCTGAAGGTCCCATTCTTCTCAGCAGAAGCAGGAGGAGGGGACCTTAGAAGCACTACACCACTTTGCACTGCGAGGGATTGGACTAGATATCCCTTGTGGCCCTTTCCAGTTGTAAGATTCTCTGATGGCCAAAGTCAGTCTATGCAGTTGCCTTTATGCTTTGGCTATCGACCTTTGGGCTGAGACAGAAGTCTTGAGACCCCTCAACCCAGCCTCATTGCTGGACCT